CTGTCTGTCTGTCTCTCTGTACGTCCGTCTGTCTGTCTGTCTCTCTGTACGTCCGTCTGTCTGTCCGTCTCTCTGTCTGTCCGTCTCTCTGTCCGTCCGTCTCTCTCTCTGTCCGTCTCTCTGTCTGTCTGTCTCTCTCTGTCCGTCCGTCTCTCTGTCTGTCTGTCCGTCTCTCTGTCCGTCCGTCTCTCTCTCTGTCCGTCTCTCTGTCTGTCTGTCTCTCTCTGTCCGTCCGTCTCTCTGTCCGTCTGTCTCTCTGTCTGTCCGTCCTTCTCTCTGTCCATATGTCTCTCTGTCTGTCTGTCCGTCTCTCTGTCTGTCCGTCTCTCTGTCCGTCTGTCTCTCTGTCCGTCCGTCTCTCTGTCCGTCCGTCTCTCTCTCTGTCCGTCTCTCTGTCCGTCCGTCTCTCTGTCCGTCCGTCTCTCTCTCTGTCCGTCCGTCTCTCTCTCTGTCCGTCTCTCTGTCCGTCCGTCTCTCTGTCCGTCCGTCTCTCTGTCTGTCCGTCTGTCTGTCTCTCTGTCCGTCTCTCTGTCCATATGTCTCTCTGTCCGTCTGTCTCTCTGTCCGTCCATCTCTCTGTCCGTCCGTCTCTCTGTCTGTCTGTCCGTCTCTCTGTCTCTCTGTCCGTCTCTCTGTCCATATGTCTCTCTGTCTGTCTGTCCGTCTCTCTGTCTGTCCGTCTGTCTCTCTGTCTGTCTGTCTCTCTGTCCGTCTCTCTGTCCGTCTGTCTCTCTGTCCGTCCATCTCTCTGTCCGTCCGTCTCTCTGTCTGTCTGTCCCTCTCTCTGTCTTCTGTTTTTGGGCTGTTTCCTTTTTGTCCGTCCGTCTCTTTGCTGTTTTGTTGTCTCCCCTGTCCGTCCGGGCTCTCTGTCTTTTCCGTTGTTCCCTGTCTGTCTGTCTTTTCTTGTCCGTCTCTCTGTCGTTTGTTTCTCTCTGGGCCGTCCCTCTCTTGTCCGTCCGTTTTCTGTTGTCTGGGCCGTCTCTTGTCCGTTTGTCTCTTGTTGTCGGGCTTTTTTATGTTCCGGGCTCTCTGTCCGTTTTGTCTTCTGTCCGTCCATCTCTTGTCCGTCCGTCTCTCTGTTCTGTCCGTTGTTTTCTTTTGTCTGTTTTTTGTCCTCTTTTCCGTTTTCTCTGTCCGTCCATTTTCTCTGTCCCTTTCCCTCTCCCCTGTCTGTCTGTCCGTCTCTCTGTCCGTCCCCTCTCTCTGTCTGTCGTTTTTGTTTTTTGTCTCTCTGTCCCTTGTTTTTTCTTTTGTTTTCCTTTGTTTTCTCTCTGTCCGTCTGTTTTCTTTTTTGTCCGTCTTCTGTTTTCCATTGTCCTCTCTTTGGGGCCGTCTTTTCTCTTTTGTTTCCCTCCTCTTTTTCGTTCCCGGTTTCCCGTCTCTCTTTTTTGTTTTTGTCCGTTTTCTTCCTTTTTTGGTTTCTTTTTGTCCATCTCTCTTGTCCCCATTTGTCTTCCTCTTCTGTCCGTCCGTCTCTCTGTCTTCCCTCTGTTTTTCTCTTTGTTTTCGTCCCGTTTTGCGTTTTTGGTTTTTGTCCCGTCTCTCTGTTTTTCCGTCTCTTTTGGGTTTTCCGTCCATTTTCTCTTTTTCTGTCCGTCTCTCTGTCTGTTTTGTTTTTTCTCTCAGGGTTTTTTCCGTCCCTCTTCTGTCCCGGGTTTTTTTCCTCTCTCTGTCTTTTCTGTCCGGGCTTTTCCTGTTTTGTCCGTCCTCCTCCTCTCTTTTTCCGTCTCCCCTGTCTGTCTGGTCTCTCTCCTGTCCGTCCGTTTCTTTCTCTGTCCGTCTGTCTATCTGTCTGTCCGTCCTTCTCTCTGTCCATATGTCTCTCTGTCTGTCTGTCCGTCTCTCTGTCTGTCCGTCTCTCTGTCCGTCTGTCTCTCTGTCAGTCCGTCTCTCTGTCCGTCAGTCTCTCTCTCTGTCCGTCTCTCTGTCCGTCGTCTCTCTGTCCGTCCGTCTCTCTCTCTGTCCGTCCGTCTCTCTCTCTGTCCGTCTCTCTGTCCGTCCGTCTCTCTGTCCGTCCGTCTCTCTGTCTGTCCGTCTGTCTGTCTCTCTGTCCGTCTCTCTGTCCATATGTCTCTCTGTCCGTCTGTCTCTCTGTCCGTCTCTCTGTCCATATGTCTCTCTGTCCGTCTGTCTCTCTGTCCGTCCATCTCTCTGTCCGTCCGTCTCTCTGTCTGTCTGTCCGTCTCTCTGTCTCTCTGTCCGTCTCTCTGTCCATATGTCTCTCTGTCTGTCTGTCCGTCTCTCTGTCTGTCTGTCTCTCTGTACGTCCGTCTGTCTGTCCGTCTCTCTGTCTGTCCGTCTCTCTGTCCGTCCGTCTCTCTCTCTGTCCGTCTCTCTGTCTGTCTGTCTCTCTCTGTCCGTCCGTCTCTCTGTCCGTCCGTCTCTCTGTCTGTCTGTCCGTCTCTCTGTCCGTCCGTCTCTCTCTCTGTCCGTCTCTCTGTCTGTCTGTCTCTCTCTGTCCGTCCGTCTCTCTGTCCGTCTGTCTCTCTGTCTGTCCGTCCTTCTCTCTGTCCATATGTCTCTCTGTCTGTCTGTCCGTCTCTCTGTCTGTCCGTCTCTCTGTCTGTCTGTCTCTCTGTCCGTCTCTCTGTCCGTCTGTCTCTCTGTCCGTCCATCTCTCTGTCCGTCCGTCTCTCTGTCTGTCTGTCCGTCTCTCTGTCTGTCTGTCTCTCTGTCTGTCTGTCTCTCTGTCCGTCCGTCTCTCTGTCTGTCTGTCTGTCTCTCTGTCCGTCCGTCTCTCTGTCTGTCCGTCTGTCTCTCTGTCTGTCTGTCTCTCTGTCCGTCCATCTCTCTGTCCGTCCGTCTCTCTGTCTGTCTGTCCGTCTCTCTGTCCGTCTGTCTCTCTGTCTGTCTGTCTCTCTGTCCGTCTCTCTGTCCGTCTGTCTCTCTGTCCGTCCATCTCTCTGTCCGTCCGTCTCTCTGTCTGTCCGTCCATCTCTCTGTCCGTCCGTCTCTCTGTCTGTCTGTCCGTCTCTCTGTCCGTCCGTCTCTCTGTCTGTCCGTCTGTCTGTCTCTCTGTCTGTCTCTCTGTCCATATGTCTCTCTGTCCGTCTGTCTCTCTGTCCGTCTCTCTGTCCATATGTCTCTCTGTCCGTCTGTCTCTCTGTCCGTCCATCTCTCTGTCCGTCCGTCTCTCTGTCTGTCTGTCCGTCTCTCTGTCTCTCTGTCCGTCTCTCTGTCCATATGTCTCTCTGTCTGTCTGTCCGTCTCTCTGTCTGTCTGTCTCTCTGTACGTCCGTCTGTCTGTCCGTCTCTCTGTCTGTCCGTCTCTCTGTCCGTCCATCTCTCTCTCTGTCCGTCTCTCTGTCTGTCTGTCTCTCTCTGTCCGTCCGTCTCTCTGTCCGTCCGTCTCTCTGTCTGTCTGTCCGTCTCTCTGTCCGTCCGTCTCTCTCTCTGTCCGTCTCTCTGTCTGTCTGTCTCTCTCTGTCCGTCCGTCTCTCTGTCCGTCTGTCTCTCTGTCTGTCCGTCCTTCTCTCTGTCCATATGTCTCTCTGTCTGTCTGTCCGTCTCTCTGTCTGTCCGTCTCTCTGTCCGTCTGTCTCTCTGTCCGTCCGTCTCTCTGTCCGTCCGTCTCTCTCTCTGTCCGTCTCTCTGTCCGTCCGTCTCTCTGTCCGTCCGTCTCTCTCTCTGTCCGTCCGTCTCTCTCTCTGTCCGTCTCTCTGTCCGTCCGTCTCTCTGTCCGTCCGTCTCTCTGTCTGTCCGTCTGTCTCTCTCTGTCCGTCTCTCTGTCCATATGTCTCTCTGTCCGTCTGTCTCTCTGTCCGTCTCTCTGTCCATATGTCTCTCTGTCCGTCTGTCTCTCTGTCCGTCCATCTCTCTGTCCGTCCGTCTCTCTGTCTGTCTGTCCGTCTCTCTGTCTCTCTGTCCGTCTCTCTGTCCATATGTCTCTCTGTCTGTCTGTCCGTCTCTCTGTCTGTCTGTCTCTCTGTACGTCCGTCTGTCTGTCCGTCTCTCTGTCTGTCCGTCTCTCTGTCCGTCCGTCTCTCTCTCTGTCCGTCTCTCTGTCTGTCTGTCTCTCTCTGTCCGTCCGTCTCTCTGTCCGTCCGTCTCTCTGTCTGTCTGTCCGTCTCTCTGTCCGTCCGTCTCTCTCTCTGTCCGTCTCTCTGTCTGTCTGTCTCTCTCTGTCCGTCCGTCTCTCTGTCCGTCTGTCTCTCTGTCTGTCCGTCCTTCTCTCTGTCTGTCCGTCTCTCTGTCCGTCTGTCTCTCTGTCCGTCCGTCTCTCTGTCCGTCCGTCTCTCTGTCCGTCTGTCTCTCTGTCTGTCCGTCCTTCTCTCTGTCCATCTCTCTGTCTGTCCGTTTGTCTCCTTCTTCCAAGGACATCCATCCTGGTGGAAAGGCAGACGTGGCGCCCAACCCGTCGGCCATCTGCTGCAAATCGACTCTGAAACGATTGTCACCAACTGGACGGATACGAAGGCAGGAACAGAGTCAGCAGCGGCGGCTGAGTGGAGCTAAACATGCTAACATCTGGGCTCTAAAGCAGCCCTGTGATGAAAGCAGAGGCTGAGCCGCTGCTAACCAAGGAAACGTTTGACTTCTTAGAGCCAAACTGTTGTGAAATCCTTCTGCTGCCTGAATGGAAACCAGGGAACATTTTGTTCTCCAAAATCATAAATGTTTGATGATCAGATTTTAGAAAGCAACACCTGGATAATCAGAAACATTTGTGCTCACAGTAATTCATTCTACATGATATAAATAACCTGAACTCTAAGAAATGTTTCTGATCTCTAAATAAATGAGTTAAAGTGAATTGATTTTTTGCAAACTGCAGCGAACTCATTCCAGCTGTCAGACGATGTTTAATCGTGGCTCTGACTGGGATTCCTTCCAGGCAGCAGCCCTGATCTCCGGCCGGTTATGTTCTCTGGCTGTCAGCAAACAGAGAGGGGAGCAGACGGCTGCAGGCCAGTGTGGGCGGAGAAGATCAGTTCACCGCTGAGTTTGGAACGGTGGAACGGTCCTTCTGGTTCCCGCTGTGGTTCTAAGGTTCCTCTCACCGTGTAGGTCTCCTTGTTCAACGTCTCCACCTCCACCATGTCTCCGCTCTGGTCGATCCTGTAGACCGGTGACTGCAGCTTCACTCTTTCACCGAGCTCTTTGGCCATGCACTCGCTGATCTGACCCGAGCCGCCTGCAAACTTCCTCTCCTGCAGAAACCAGCAGACGACCAGTCAGTGATGATGAACACAGTGAAAGCATGCAGTGGCGTTCAAACCCCAAACCTCATCACCTCTGATATCAAAGAACCGGAAATATCAGTTCACATCTGAACATGGAGTACAGCCCCTAAACTGAGACCAGGCAAATGCTTATCCCTGCTGGGAGGGTGAGGGGTGCTGGTGTCCATCTCCAGCTGTCAATGAGGGAGAGGGGGGGTCCACCCTGGACAGGCCTCCAGTCCATCTCAGGGCAACACAGAGACAAACTGGACAAACATCCATTCACACCTAAGGAGGATTTAGAGAAGCCAGTGAACCTAACAGTATTTTTGGACTGTGGGAGGAAGCTGGAGTACCCAGAGAGATGCTCAGGGAGAACATACAAACTCCATGCAGAAAGAATCAAACCCGGGAATCAAACCCAGAACCTTCTCGCTGCTCAGTGGCGCAGTGGGTAGCACTGCGCCACTGAGCAGCGCACAATGAGCATCAGTCAGAGGAAAGTGGAGGATCTGCAGAGGCCACCAGAGTCTCAGTGGAATCTAAATGATTTGGGCTAATAAAAACTAGACCTGCATACGTTGTTCCCACAGTGATGCATGGTGGTGGAGGCATCATACTATGGGATGCCTTCCTTCAGCAGGAACATGCTAATTCATCAAAGCTGTTGGGACGACGGAGGGAGAAAAATGTTCACCTTCCAGCGATCGTTTGGATCAAAGCTGGTAGAATGGTCCAGATATCTAATATAGAACTCACCCATTCCACCTAATCCTGTTAGGTTCCCTCCCAGATGTTCTGCATCATTATCTTCAATCTCCCAGTTAGTGTCTGCAGAGACCAACTGGTCCTGAAGGCCAGCGATCACAGACAGGCTGAGGGGCGGAGAGCGATACGGCGCTGCCAAAGCTCTGACACAATAAATCCATTAGGCACTGACCTTTACTGTGCGTCTGGCGTCAACATCTCTGCAGCCCCTGATCTCTTTAACGTAGCGTGGATCTTTGGAGGAATTCACCAGTCACCACTAAATTCACCAGTCACCACTAAATTCACCAGTCACCACTAAATTCACCAGTCACCACTAAATTCACCAGTCACCACTAAATTCACCAGTCACCACTAAATTCACCAGTCACCACTAAACACGATGCGCCTTTTTGTTCGGTTTATAAGCAGCTCTGCCTCTAGAAAAAATAAAAATGCTGTCCCTATCAGGACGCTCTAGTAAAACTGAAGAAGACCTCCATGTTGGCTAACGTGTCCTCTGTGCAGAAACACGCTTTAAAGCTTAAAGACAGCGGGGGGTGGGGGGGGTCATCCAGAAGCAGCACTGCCAGAAAGCATCCTTAGTTTGGCTGCTGAACAGAGCAGACAGGAGGAAACACTGAGACTCATTTAGCAGCGCTGACGGCTCCTCTCTGCTCCTCTCTGCTCCTCCTGCATCGGAGCACCGTCTGAAAAAACGTTTCTGTTTGGAAATCAGCTTTAGGAAGTCGGTCAACAAAAGGCACCTGAAGTGGGCGGGTTGCAGATGAGCAGCTTAAAGACAGATGAGGTTAAAAGCCATGGAGAGAGGGGCAATAATGAGGATTAATAAAATAAATGATCATATTTATAGCGCACCTTAGAGCTCATTTCCTAATAAAAATTAATATTTCTGGCTGCACTTGAGTTTCTAATTAAGAAAATCCTGTTTTCATGTGTTAGAGCAAAGAAAGAGCCCAACCCGTCTGAAACCTGTTTGAAGGCACAGCTTTAAGATGGAGAGTTTTACCATAAGGTGATATTCAGTTTGGACATGTGTGCAAAGTCTAGAAGCTATCACTCTATAAGACACAAAGGCCTGCTGGCAGGGACGTCCGAACTAGACTCAGCTTTCCTGAACCCTGGAGACGGATCCGATTTCCAAACAGAGATCAACATTAGTTACAGGTCTGGAAAAGATTGGGAATTTATTATTTGTTTACATGGGAGCTCAGTTTAATTGAGTTTCACTAGTTTTTAGTCAGGAGTTTAAATTAAATGTGTTTGAATTGTAGCTGAATGATATAAAACTCATATTTTAATGGAAGTTGTGGTAAATTTATTGCATATTTGTGCAGAATTATCAGATTGAACAGGATTTGAGCTCTTTGATGCTTTCCTTTGGTGTCCGTACACAAAGCACACGTTCAGAGAACATTACATGACCTGTAGGGTCAGGACTGGGTCCTGCTTACATACCTGCCCCCCGTTGGTGGTGGAGAAGATCCTCATGGTTCCTCCGCACTGCTTCACGTACCACAGGAACCAGAGGGCTGAGACCTCATGGGGTTCAGACGTCACGTTCACGTTGACAAACAGGGTGGCAAAGCGGCGAACAGCGCTGTGAGAGGAAACGGAGGGACCAACCAGCATTAACTGGTTCTACAGAGGAACATGTCCCTGCTTAGAACCCAGAGAACATGACAAAGTTCCCTTTATCACCTGGTCCAGCAGATTTTGTCGAACAGCTGCTGCATGGTCATGTTGTCCCACTCCACGGCGTGAGGCGCTCTCCATGGCGCCTCTCTGGGGATCTAAGGTACCAATGGACAGTGAGCATTAGACCGCTGCATGGAGGAGAGGCAGTAACAGGACAACAGTAACATGCTGTCACCTCCATGCCCATCTGGTCCATGGTCCTGAAGAGGTTATTAAAGTCCATGTAGACGATGGGGTTCCACATGGGAGGGAAGGAACCTTTGAACGGGTAAGACTTTCCCTGTGGGGTCAATAAACACAGTCAGCAAATCAGCTATCATGATAAACCAGTTAGAACCGGTTGGTTTATCTCACAGAGCCACAATGAAAGCAGATAAGCTTGTGTAAACAGAGACAAACAACCAATATAACTATGGCGGCCATATTGGACTCTTCTCTGGCTACAGTCACTAATCTACCAACGCTGCTCACTCTATTAATGTTTAGTTTAACACAGCATTGAAATAAAACTTGGCAACAATATTTAACATTAGTGTTGCTGTTATGGCCAATAATAACCAGATGGGATCCATCTCCAAACTCTTTGGTCAAAAACGACCATCCCGCTGACCATCCCGCTGACCATCCCACTGACCATCCCACTAACCATCCCGCTGACCATCCCGCTAATCATCCCACTGACCATCCCGCTGACCATCCCACTAACCATCCCACTAACCATCCCGCTGACCATCCCGCTAACCATCCCGCTAACCATCCCGCTGACCATCCCGCTAATCATCCCACTGACCATCCCGCTGACCATCCCACTAACCATCCCGCTGACCATCCCGCTAATCATCCCACTGACCATCCCGCTGACCATCCCACTAACCATCCCGCTAATCATCCCACTGACCATCCCGCTGACCATCCCACTAACCATCCCGCTGACCATCCCGCTGACCATCCTGCTGACCATCCCGCTGACCATCCCGCTGACCATCCCACTGACCATCCCGCTGACCATCCCACTAACCATCCTGCTGACCATCCCGCTGACCATCCCACTGACCATCCCACTGACCATCCCGCTGACCATCCCACTAACCATCCTGCTGACCATCCCGCTGACCATCCTGCTGACCATCCCGCTGACCATCCCGCTGACCATCCCGCTGACCATCCCACTGACCATCCCGCTGACCATCCCGCTGACCATCCCACTGACCATCCCGCTGACCATCCCGCTGACCATCCCACTAACCATCCTGCTGACCATCCCGCTGACCATCCCGCTGACCATCCCACTGACCATCCCGCTGACCATCCCACTAACCATCCTGCTGACCATCCCGCTGACCATCCCGCTGACCATCCCACTGACCATCCTGCTGACCATCCCGCTGACCATCCCACTAACCATCCCGCTGACCATCCCGCTGACCATCCCACTGACCATCCTGCTGACCATCCCGCTGACCATCCCACTAACCATCCCGCTGACCATCCCACTGACCATCCCGCTGACCATCCCGCTGACCATCCCACTAACCATCCCGCTGAGCATCCCACTAACCATCCCGCTGACCATCCCACTGACCATCCCGCTGACCATCCCCCTGACCATCCCGCTAATCATCCCACTGACCATCCCGCTGACCATCCCACTAACCATCCCGCTGACCATCCCGCTGACCATCCCACTGACCATCCCGCTGACCATCCCGTTGACCATCCCACTGACCATCCCGCTGACCATCCCACTAACCATCCTGCTGACCATCCCGCTGACCATCCCGCTGACCATCCCACTGACCATCCTGCTGACCATCCCGCTGACCATCCCGCTGACCATCCCACTGACCATCCCGCTGACCATCCCGCTGACCATCCCACTAACCATCCTGCTGACCATCCCGCTGACCATCCCGCTGACCATCCCACTAACCATCCTGCTGACCATCCCGCTGACCATCCCGCTGACCATCCCACTGACCATCCTGCTGACCATCCCGCTGACCATCCCGCTGACCATCCCGCTAACCATCCTGCTGACCATCCCGCTGACCATCCCGCTGACCATCCCACTGACCATCCTGCTGACCATCCCGCTGACCATCCTGCTGACCATCCCGCTGACCATCCCGCTGACCATCCCACTGACCATCCTGCTGACCACCCCGCTGACCATCCCACTAACCATCCCGCTGACCATCCCACTGACCATCCCGCTGACCATCCCGCTGACCATCCCACTAACCATCCCGCTGAGCATCCCACTAACCATCCCGCTGACCATCCCACTGACCATCCCGCTGACCATCCCCCTGACCATCCCGCTAATCATCCCACTGACCATCCCGCTGACCATCCCACTAACCATCCCGCTGACCATCCCGCTGACCATCCCACTGACCATCCCGCTGACCATCCCGTTGACCATCCCACTGACCATCCCGCTGACCATCCCACTAACCATCCTGCTGACCATCCCGCTGACCATCCCGCTGACCATCCCACTGACCATCCTGCTGACCATCCCGCTGACCATCCCGCTGACCATCCCACTGACCATCCCGCTGACCATCCCGCTGACCATCCCACTAACCATCCTGCTGACCATCCCGCTGACCATCCCGCTGACCATCCCACTAACCATCCTGCTGACCATCCCGCTGACCATCCCGCTGACCATCCCACTGACCATCCTGCTGACCATCCCGCTGACCATCCCGCTGACCATCCCGCTAACCATCCTGCTGACCATCCCGCTGACCATCCCGCTGACCATCCCACTGACCATCCTGCTGACCATCCCGCTGACCATCCTGCTGACCATCCCGCTGACCATCCCGCTGACCATCCCACTGACCATCCTGCTGACCAACCCGCTGACCATCCCACTAACCATCCCGCTGACCATCCCACTGACCATCCCGCTGACCATCCCGCTGACCATCCCACTAACCATCCCGCTGAGCATCCCACTAACCATCCCGCTGACCATCCCACTGACCATCCCGCTGACCATCCCCCTGACCATCCTGCTAATCTTCCCACTGACCATCCCGCTGACCATCCCACTAACCGTCCCGCTGACCATCCTGCTGACCATCCCGCTGACCATCCCACTGACCATCCCGCTGACCATCCCACTGACCATCCCGCTGACCATCCTGCTGACCATCCCGCTGACCATCCCGCTGACCATCCCACTGACCATCCTGCTGACCATCCCGCTGACCATCCCGCTGACCATCCCGCTGACCATCCTGCTGACCATCCTGCTGACCATCCCACTAATCATCCCGCTGACCATCCCACTAACCATCCTGCTGACCATCCAGCTGACCATCCCGCTGACCATCCTGCTGACCATCCTGCTGACCATCCCACTAATCATCCTGCTGACCATCCCGCTGACCATCCCGCTGACCATCCCGCTGACCATCCCACTAACCATCCCGCTGACCATCCCGCTGACCATCCTGCTGACCATCCCACTAATCATCCTGCTGACCATCCCGCTGACCATCCCACTAACCATCCTGCTGACCATCCCGCTGACCATCCCGCTGACCATCCTGCTGACCATCCTGCTGACCATCCCACTAATCATCCCACTAATCATCCTGCTGACCATCCCGCTGACCATCCTGCTGACCATCCCGCTGACCATCCCACTAACCATCCCACTAACCATCCCGCTGACCATCCCACTAACCATCCTGCTGACCATCCCGCTGACCATCCCGCTGACCATCCTGCTGACCATCCTGCTGACCATCCTGCTGACCATCCCACTAATCATCCCACTAATCATCCTGCTGACCATCCCGCTGACCATCCTGCTAACCATCCCGCTGACCATCCCACTGACCATCCCGCTGACCATCCCACTGACCATCCCGCTGTCCATCCCGCTAACCATCCCGCTATCCATCCCACTGACCATCCCGCTGACCATCCCGCTTACCATCCCGCTGACCATCCCGCTTACCATCCCGCTGACCATCCCACTAACCATCCTGCTGACCATCCCACTAACCATCCTGCTGACCATCCCGCTTACCATCCCGCTGACCATCCCACTAACCATCCTGCTGACCATCCCACTAACCATCCCACTAACCATCCTGCTGACCATCCCGCTGACCAACACACCACATGGTCAACAGCACCATATGCAGACTCCTTTGATCCATATCAATGTTAGTCCAGATATTTTCTTCGATCCAGTTGTGTGATTTCTACACTGCTGAGCAGCCTTTACCTTCAGTCTTCCAGTTCTGGTGACTTTTTACCTGTTTTTAGAGCAGCTTCTGTTAGAGAACGCTTGATTGATTGAAATAACGCCTGAAGCCGCAGCAGTTAATGAACCATAAAGACACGACAAGCAGGAGGCCCATTGGAGCTCAGAGAGTCTGCTTTAAATCATTCAGGTGGATCTGAAGCTCTTTAGGTCGGCACTCTGAGTGCAGATCAGACGCTGATCGATGAACCATTCAGGGGTCTAACCAGAACTTCACAAAGCAGAGAAACCCAGACCGGATTAGTGAGTGGAAGGTACCGGGGACCGAGTTTAATCATCATTTCTATTGCTGCAGGCAGCTCCTTCCTCACACAGGTATTGATACCAAACACACCTCAGCAGTTCACTGCTCTTTGGAGTTACTGTACATGAATGAAATCTGAGGAAAAGCTCAGGTTACATCAAGATCAAATGATACGGTCTTCCATTAAATCCTAATAACCACAAACGACTCTTTGTTGGAGGTTATGATTTGATAGAAGCACATAAACAGATTATAGGAAATTACTCTAAATGGTTTGGTTGAGAAAGCAGATGGAAAATCTGACCTTTGTGGAAACAAAAAAGCAGTTTCTCTGCTTATCAACCTCAGAGGAATAAAACAAACATCATCCGTCCATCATGTTTTATCCCTGCTGGGGGGGTGAGGGGTGCTGGTGTCTATCTCCAGCTTTCTATGGCTGGAGATAGACACCCTCTCTGTCCATTCTGGACAGAGAGGGGGGGTCCACCCTGGACAGGGAGGAGGGGTCCACCCTGGACAGAGAGGGGGGGTCCATTCTGGACAGAGAGGGGGGGTCCACCATGGACAGGGAGGAGGGGTCCACCCTGGACAGAGAGGCGGGGTCCACCCTGGACAGAGAGGGGGGGTCCACCCTGGACAGGGAGGGGGGGTCCACCCTGGACAGAGAGGAGGGGTCCACCCTGGACAGAGAGGGGGGGTCCACCATGGACAGGGAGGAGGGGTCCACCCTGGACAGAGAGGG